GCCAGGATATGAGTTTTATCAATGGTGTCCCGCTTTTGTCCCGCTTTACCAATGTTAAAATCTGGTCACCTTAACCTAACTGCATGGTTACTGGTTCAAAACCACCAGCCCTTTTGAGGGAGAAAGATGCAGCTTACTACCCCGTAACTTTTTACGGTCTCAGAAACACACAGGGGCAAACTGCCTTGCCCTATCAGGTCACTGTCCGTTGGACTGGACTCTTTAGCTGTGCGTTTGGTTTTTCATGTTTTGGGGGGGTGGTAGCAGCTACAGGGTGGCTGAGAGTGGAGTCGACTCCACAGCAGTGCCTTTTGGCTCTGTGTCTGAGTGGGCTGACATGCTGGGGTGCCGACCACAAGCCCAGCAGTTGGAAAGGACCAGCTGCTCGAAGGAAAAGCAGGCTTCCTGCTCCCATGAAAGATTTAAGGCCTTGGAGAGCCACCAGAGCACTTCTACTCTGTCTACCCTACAGGGTCACTGAAATTGACTCAGTGGGAGTGAATGTAGTTTCTAAATTAAAAAAAAGAGGGCTGGTAGCACAGTGGTTAAGCACACAGCTGGTAACTAAAGGTCAGCAGTTCCAATCTACCAGCTGCCCCATGGCATAAAGATGTGACAGCTTGTTTCTGTGCAGACTCTAACCTTGGACACCCCTGGGGACATTGTCTGCCCTGGCCAACTGGGACTGACTCAATAGCAGGGGCGTTTTATTTTCAAAGAGATCAGTGTAAGATAAAAATAAAGTTCCATGAATAGTAAGACAAGAAGATGTTAAAAATACAAGTGTAGGGTGTGGAGGAAGAAAAGGCTCAAGGGGTTTAAAAGGAAGCCCTAACTTACTCTCACTGCAATGCGCTACTACAGCCCAAAGGAGTGCTGGTTTCCTTCAGCCCCGGAGGCATGGGCATTAAGGAAAGGGGATGCTGGGGGAAAAGGGCTTCCTTTCTTAGTTGGTAGCTGTGTGCAGCAATTCACATGGTGAATATTCACAGTCTTCTAACAAAGACAGCAGTGCTGGAAGTGAAATACTTAATAGCTTATGGTCTTAAAAAAAAAGCATACTATTTAACCTTTTGGATGCTATTCAGCTCATAAAATAGGTGGCTTATCTAGGATTTTCAGCAAGAGTCAAGCGAGGCTTAGGAAGTACTGACTGAGCACTGGTGAAACAAAGAAGTACCTGGTTAAAATGCCCAGACTCTAACGTGTCATGAGGGAGCCCTGTGAAGCCCTGAGTTACACTCTAGGCGGCTAATTTCCAGGTCAGCAGTTCAAAACTGCCAACTGCTCCATGGGGAAAAGTTGAGACTTTCTACTGGGGAAGAGTTAGTCTTGGGAGCCCACAGGGGCAGAGTCAGAATTGACTTGATGGCAGCGAGTTTGCTTTTGCGTTTGGAACACGTCATGGGACAAGCCTTAAAGAGCCATGTATGTTGACCCTCCTTTGCCTTTCCGCATCCATACTTTGCACTAAATCTCATTTGGTGGCAGCACAACACCAGACCCAAAGACACAGTGTAAAAGCTGCCCTTTGTTGGGGGCTGCAAGTACTCTTTCCTTTAAAGGTCTGCTTATGGAAATCTCCATTAGTGCAAAAAGCTGAGGAAGCCAAAGCCAGTTTGCAGGAAGATTTCAAAAGCTGTCACTGACTCTTGGGCACAAAAGAGAAACCCAAGGTCGGACGCCACAGCAGTGCGCATTACTGAAAGCATCCGAGAGGCCTATTCCTGCACAGAGGAAAGAGAACAATCCCAATCTGATCCAGATTTCCCAATGCAGCCCCAGGTCACCCCGCCAAAATGGCAATCATTATATATAGAGGCAGATGTGACCTAGTCACAGGTAGGGAAGCGAGGCCACACATGATGAAATGTGAATGGAGCCAGTAGAGAGCTATACCCTGAGTGACTCGGGGTGGCTGGGTGGGGAGAGGCTTACACACACAAAAACACCATAAACGATTCAAACAAAAAACTCTGAAGTCCCATTCCCCTTCTTTTCCGTGAATCAGTACCTAGTTTTGTCTTCTAAAAGAACTCTAAGCGCTGAATGCAAAACAGAGAACATAGTATTTTCAAACAGAGAAACCCTTATTAGGTAATAGCCTCAACATGTGCAGAGCTCTGAAGTTTGAACTTCATGGAGGCATTTTTGATACCGTTTCATTGTCGTCTTCATCCATTTCATCCTCCAAGAACCGGATTGCGCTGACTCTGTTTACCGCACTCTCGTTCCAGGCTTCGTCGGAGACGTCATTCACCAAGTTCTCCAGCCCCCCACAGCGAGGCAGGTTCTCTGTTGGGACAAAGAAGGGGTCCATCAGTAGGAAATGGATTCCTGAACCTGACAATGCTATGTGCCAACTTGGTGGCCAATTACGCTCCACCTGGAAGGTCCTAGGAAGAATGGTCTGGCGACCATCCTCAAACCATGCCACTTGGAAACTCCATGGAGCACAGTTCTGCTCGGAGACATACTGGATCATCATGGATCGAAAGACCCTCAGTGGCAGCTGGTCGTGTGCAGTAACCATGAAGAGAAGCAGGGCTATAGTCGCTGAAATGAGGAGGACAAATTAGTTTTGTCAACCTCCAAGTCTTGGCTTTAAAAGCAAACAATAAAACGACCCCATAGCCATTACTGAATGAGTACGGAGGTTATGTCTGTGGTTGTTAGGCGCCGGTGACTCAGTTCCAACTGACAGCAATCCTGTGCACAGCAGAACAAAACACTGCCTGGTCCTGTGTCGTCCTCACGATTGTGGCTACGTTCAAGCCCAGTGTTGTGGTCAGTGTGTGAATCCACCAAAAATACTAGAAAATGAGAGTAGTGATGCCTGCACAACATGGTGTGTGTGTGTGTGTGTGTGTGTGTGTGTGTGTGTGTATGTGTAAGGTATATCATTGCGTGCATGGAAGTGGTTACGTAAATGTGCTTAAAAGGACACCTGTTCTGTCATATATATATTCCTCTACAATTAAAACCAAAAAAGTAAAAGGCCTGGGAAAGGGTTCCCCTTCCTTTGATTTTGCACCATTCTACTGGAGCTCATGTAAAACATCTGTGAAATGCATGTTTACTATTTTATTACAGAGAATTTCAATCACTGAAAGATTCCTTCTAATTCTCTGCTACAAACTTTTAAAATGCATGACAGTGATGTAGCTGCATGCTGAATACTGTTATGATTAGCTGTCATCAGATGTAGCCACATCAGGCCCTAACTCATGGTGACTCCAGGCACAACAAATGCCGCCCAGTCCTTCTATACCTTCTACCTCTTTGGGGCCATAAAAGCTCACCTAACAAAGCAAGGCTTGGTACATTGGGCTAGGGTGGGGGGTTTTCTTCCCAATTTAGGAGCTTCCTATTCTCCAAGAGCACTTCAGTTGTCTTCTATCAAGCCAAGCTCCCAACAAATGAATTATAATAGCATTTTGACGCTAACGTGAAGATTTCTTAAGGCTACACATAATTTACCCAGAGATGTAAAAACTCAAAGCAGCCCTCCTATCTTAGGAACAGTGTGGCTTTGGCTTTAACTATGAATTATCTCATGCTGCACATGTGCACTTTACATGACTCCTTGATTTTTCTTAGGAACATTTGAATTCTCAACATTGGCCAAAGTTAAAAACTGAAATGGCTGCTTAAGAAACAGGTAGAAAAAGTGTTGAAAACAAGTAGAAAAAAAATAAAAATATTAAAAAAAATTTTTTTAAAGAGAAAACAAGTAGAAACACTGTTTCTACAAGGATGCAGGGCCTCTTCCCAAAGGAGTCCCATAATGACCTCACGGGGGCTGGCTCTGGAAGAAGATTACAAGACATGCTATCACATTCATATGGGGAGAATGAAACTTCATAGGTCGATAACAGTCCCTACTGATTCCCACAGCCACATGCAGTATTGCCCTAAAGTAAGCTCACCTTGGCAAGTTGGTTCGGAAGGCAGCTGAGGAAGTAAGACGCAGGTTAAAATCTTCTCCCCGGTGGTGTGGTCTGTGTCTGTTTGGAACGTGAGCAGAGGCTGGGACTGGTTGTCAGACAGCCAGAGTGCTTTCAGTTTCAAGGTGGTCAGAGATAAAGGCAGGTGCAACAACCTAATTTACAACAAAAGGGAGACACCATGACCTCACATGTTGTCATTAAAGCAACCCCTGGAAATAAAAAGAAGGTGAACGTTTTTTTTAAAAAGTTTCTTTGTCCAAAGAGCACCAAGATATATAGACTTTTTCTTGTTGTTGTTATGTTGTTCGGTACTGTCGTGTCCGTTGTGACTCACACTGACCCTGTGCACAACAGAACAAAACCCTGCCCAGTCCTGCTCCAGCCTCACAATGGCTCTGATGTGGGAGCCCATTGTGGCAGCCACTGTGTCAAGCCATCTTGTCAAGGATCTCCTTCTTTTTCACTGCACCTCTACTTTACCAAACACGCTGCCCTCCGCCAGCCACTGGTAGCTCCTGACAACACATCCAAAGTACAGGCAGTGAAGTCTCCCCATCCCTGCTTCTAAGGAGCATTCTGGCTGTACTTCTTCCAAGACAGATTCGTTGGTTCTTTTGGGAGTCCGTGGGACTTTCAATATTCACCGCCAGCACCGTGATTCAAATGTATCGATTCTTCTTTCTTCTTGTTAGCTCCTGAATAGACTGCATCATCGTTGTGGTACACAGGGTTTCCTTTGGTGGATTTCCAGGTCTGTCTTTAGCATGCAAATGCCACTGAAACACAGTCAGCATGAGAATAGACACAGGAGCCTCCACTCCAGTGACAGACAGGAGATGAACCCAGGTCTCCAGCACAGGAGGAGAGGGCTCCGCCACTGAGCCACCACAGCTGCATGTTTATGCAGAGGCTTGATTTGCCCTTGGAGCATACAGTTTTTCAGCAGATTGCTGTGTTTCTCTTGTCTGCTACTCACCACCCACCATGAGGTGCTTTATGCCATCGGCCCCCCAAATGAGGAAGAGTCCAGCTAATGATAGGTAGGGCTCATTACTAGGTCTTACTCGTTCTTGTACTAGGACGTTCCGGAGAAAGAAAGAAGGCACTAAACGTGGAAGGATCTGAAAGCAGGACATATGGCAATAGCCCCCTTGCCATCAGGTGGGTTCTGACGCATAGTGAGTGACTCCGTCTGAGGCCGGATTACCTCTTTCCAGCGGGGCCGGCAGGAGAGTTACCCAGTTTGCAGAAGAGCTGCGGTGCACCGAAAGATCAGAACAGGCCCTGCCTATGGAGGCCACCAGCTTCGCCTGGGAGATACTTTGAAGGATTCCATTAGAAGCTTTCATCTTTCAGGTCCTAGCGGCTCCCACCTGTCAGACTCCTCCGTGAAAATAAATGTCCAACTCAGATTGTTTCCAGTTTCCAGATGAGACACACCTGAAGACTAGTTATGCTTCGCAAAGATTTGACAGCTTGGCCGCAGCCATTCAAACCTATTTAGGAAGTGGGGGACTGAAATGCCACCTGCCAGAAATCACATGTACCTGCTCAACTTTACTTTTAAGTAGAGTGGTTTTCCAATAGGGGGCGACTATGTCCCTCCGGGGGCCATTTGGCAATGTCTGGGGATGTTTTTGGTTGGCCCAAGGGTTGGGGGGATGGGAGTTGGATACTAGTGGCAGCCAGTGGGTTGGGGCCAGAGCATCTGGCAGTGAATAAGACAGGACACCCCCACTCCCCCTCCTCAGATAACATGGAATTGTACCAAGGAGGGGGGAGGTGAACTTGCTTTAGAAAAAGGCAGAGCTTCACACTAGTCTAACTCACTCTGAGAACAACTTACGAACTCACTGTGGACATCAAACCCCTGCATCTCCCAGGAATTTGAAGTTACATCATAATCTATGAGTCAGAATTGACCCCACGGCAGTGGGTCTGGTCTTTGGTTTCGTTTTATCCAGTAGAACCAGTATACAAGAGACTCCGTATTATTCAATCATAGAACAGCCTTGGAAGTGGTTTTATAAAATAAGAAAATATTAATATCTCATTATTTCATTTATCCACAAAAGGACGCATCTCTGCCTAGAAGAAATCCCTGTCCAATTCGATTTGGAAAAAGATGAGACGAGGGCGGTATTTCTTTCATACAGTTATGCACCTATCTTCAGCTAACATATGTGGGCAATCTACTTACACATCTACCGATAAAGTGATGTTGCATTTCCGGATGTGTGAACCACTGAACTGGTGACGTATGGGCAACAGCTCTTTGCACTTTACTGAACAAAAGGGCGGTTCCTCTGGAATTTTCCTTTCTCCTGCTTCTTTCAAGACCGAAGTTAAGCTAACCTCCTCGAGAATGTGGGAATTTCCAGGTCTGAATCCAGAACCCTTTAGTCAGCACCTCTCTTTTCTTCATCATGAGAACATGCAGGAAAGAGACGGCTTCCCATCTGGAAACCGGCACACAACAGACACGCAACCGTGGTCACCATACCTTCTGCGACTCCTGACTGCCTCTCAGCCTTGAGCCTTACACCAAGGAACACTAAGAGTCCTGTAACAGCGTCGAAGGGCGACAAGCTCTGTGGTAAACGCTATCATAATTACAGGAGTCTGCAGCAGCAGCCCTCACGACCATGCTGAGTCCAGCTAGAGCAGAGTAACAAGTTCGCTAGAGCGCAGCTTCCCTGCAAAGAACCCACGTGCCCGCTGAGCTCCTGATTGACACCTCACATGGGCTTGTGTCCTGTGGCCTAAGGCGATCCCACAAGTGGCCAGGAGGGAAAAGCCCTGCTCTCGGCCACTGCCCTCCCAGGCTGAGCACAGACCTTCTGCAGGCCGGGCCCACCCCCGGGCTGGCTCACCCGCGGGGCCTGAGAAGACACACACGCTCCTGTTTCTCTTGGGTGAGCCACCCCAACGCCAAGTCAGGAAATAGATTTTTTTTTTAAATATAGATTTATCCCTACTTTCCAGGGGGTGCTAATAATATGTTGTTGGTTTACCCTGGTGTCTTCTGTACACGACCGAACAGAGTAAATATGAGAAACCACAGCTCCATTTCTACATATCTCTGTGTTCTTTCTATTTAGGATGCCAGCCCCCTGAGAAAGAAAAGGCCTGTGGTTACTATTTACGTCCAGGGGACAAGGCTCTCCCGGCATATGCCCGGCCTGACGTGACCTCCCTGCCTCCGAATGAAGGTTGCAACTGTTTGGCTAGATTTTTCCAGCAACTGAACACGGCCCACTTCTGAAGGCTGCGCCCAACGGCAGTGTGGGAAAAGAGTGGGGTGCTAACTGTAAGGCTGGCCTCAAGGGCCTGATATAGATAAGGGGGTCGTGGGTCAGAATTGACTCGGCGGTGCTGGCTCTGGTTTCAAAATATGGAAAATGAAACACTATTTATGTGCCCCCCACCCCCCAAACCCAACTCCCTTTTCAAGGTTGTACAGAATAAAAACACTACATTTGGGGGCTGCTCAGTGCTCTCTAGTGTGTTTTAATATTTCGGTAATTTTGAATTTCATTTCTTACTAGGTGGGGTTTTATAAAGCATACAGTGTGTGTGGTGGTGGTGGGGAATACACACCACCATCTCCCCCATTGACCAGCGTGGTTTCCAGAATTGGCCCCATTAGCACGGCAGTGCAGGAGCCCTGGTGGCACAATGGTGAAGCGCTCAGCTGCTAACCCACCCAGCAGCAGCACCGCGTGGGCAGAGCTAGTGCTCTGTTTCCATAGAGGACAGCAAAAATCAACTCTGTCACCATGAGAGTCGACTCATGGCCTCCTAGCAACACAACTTCGACGAAGATCCTGAGAGACCCATTTTTGTATACGTGAAGCTATCCCTATGTCATTGGGCTAGAATTAAGTAAAGCTGTGTCTTGTGTCCATTGGTAGCAGATGCTACAATATACTTTGCTCCTTACGACCCTGGAAAGTAGGGTATTTAGTGTCCAAGTGCAACTCTACCATTATCCTTACTGTGATTTTAGCCTACCATTCTTGTAAAAGGAAGCTTTTGGACACTGACAGGCACACTCTTTGCTTCCATTTGCTATTTTTATATGCTTGAGAGAAGAGACAGAAACTTCTGTTGTATTTGGTAGGACTTCCCGTCTGGGGACATTTTTGTAAGCTTGAAGGGTAACATTGAGAAACAAATGCACATTGTTATTAGTTTCTATACTGATAGGTTAATAAGTAGTGATTAAGTATTTTAATAGGCTTAAAAAATTTGGTTATGAATCTATATTTACATGGACTAAATGACACACTTGACAATCTCGACTGACAACTATGTAACTAGATTTTTTAATGGGGCCTTTTCCACCCTGGCCCAAACCCAATACAGTACAACTTTGCTGTGTTCTGAGACCTAGAGAATGGGGCCCTTGTTGTTAGGTGGAGTCTGTTCCAACTCATAGCGACTAAAGGTACAACAGGGAGAAACAGCTCCCGCACCTTCCCGGCCTGGTCCTGTGCCATCCTCACAATTGTTCCTCTATTTAAGCCCATTGGTGCAGCCACGACATCAATCCATCTCATTGTGAGTCTTCCTCCTTTTCATTGCCCCTCGACTTTATCATGCAGGATGTCCTTCTCCAGGGCCTGGTCTCTCCTGACAACATGCCCAAAGTGTGAGAGATGAAGTCTTGCCATCCTTGCCTCTAAGGAGCATTCTCACTGTATTTCTTCCGAAACATACTGGTTGGCTCTTTTGACAGCCCATGGTACTTTCAATATTCTTCACCAACACCATCGTTCAAAGTCATTAATTTTTCTTAGGCTTTCTTTAGCCAATGTCCAACTTTCACAAACATATGAGGTGAATTATGGGATACAAAAAAATTTTACCCAGGTTGTCTCCTGTTTGCTAGCTAGCTCACTGTGTGGTCAGCTGCTTAGAAGTTTTTTCCCTGAAGGCATCAGCCATCCAGAGCAATCAGACTACTGTCTGTCCCACCATAGGTGGGGCGCACACCCTACTGATAAGGATAGTGATGGTTTCCCTGAAGAGCCCAGAGAAATGGTCAAGCCCACTCAAGATTAGGCTGCCATCCTAAATCTAGGATCTGCCCATCTTGTCACATGTGTACCTAGTCCCTCCCCTTCCTATTACATGTACACCCCTAGCTCATCCCCTTCCTGTGACCCATATGCCTATTGTACAGCCCCTTCCTGTGACATATGTGGCTACCTATAATCAGGGGGAGCTTGCACACCCCAAGGTATATAGAATAGCCTTGGTTGGAAATATACTCTTTCCCTCCTCCTCTCGTATCCCACCTCCACATGGACCACCAAGCGGGGCTGAGGTGAGCATGCTACCATAAAATGTGTCTGATGCCTTTATCTTTTCTCCTACCTCTCCTATCTTCTATGACTTTACTATGATCTTTATATATTATTGCCGTACAATTTCGCCTATGGACCCCCCACGATGGTCAGAGGCTGGTTACTCTGACAGTGAATGAAAATACTATGGTTTCGGTTAGGCACACCTTAGTTCTCAAAGTAACATCCTTGCTTTTCACCCCTCTAAAGGTGTCTTGTGTAGAAGATTTCCCTAAAGCAATGTCAATCTTTTCTCTGCTTACCATAATATTACCTATTGGACCAGTTATGGTTTTCTTGACAATGAGTTCTAACCCACACTGAAGGCCATAATCCTTGTCCTTCATTAGCAAGTGCTTCAAGCCCTTTGCACATTCAGTAAACAGAGTTATGTTCACCTGCATGTCTCAGGTTGTTAACAAGCCTTCCTCCAAACTGCCTCATTCTTCTTCGTAGAATCCTACTTCTCTAGATTTGTTTCTTTGTTCAGCATATGACTGAATAAGCAACGGTGGGAGGATACAACCTGTTCTACTCCAAAAAATGTCTCTTGATCCATGCATAGGTTCACATGTGGCCCTTACCCTTACTAAAAATAAACACAGAAGTTTTTAGAGATCAATCTTTCTGTTCAAGAATTAGCAATACCAATTGATGCTCACAGCGAGCGAATGTGGGGAGTCACTGAGTTTCCATTGTTGCTTGAGGCGAGAGGTCCTTCTCGGCATCCCCTGCCGTAGCAATCCCAGCAGAAATTCAGCATTCAACTTAAATGAGTTGAGTCTCTAGCATCCAGCGAGTGGTCTTAGGAATCCATCAAGATGTCCCAAAAGCATTAACTTCAAACGGTGCGCACGCCCGGAAGCCATCACTCATCTCTGAGCTCCACTGGAGAACTGCTATTTATTCAGCTCTGCCGCCTAGAATGCATTAGCAAGAATGACAAAGGCTGGCCTGTGCCTGACCCAAGTGACGAGTTAATCAGCATGTAGGGGCCTGTCCGCCAAGCACTGTTCAGATTGCTGATGTACACCCTTTTAAGTCAAAGGTCATCTTCCCCTGACTGATCGCTCTCCCCTCTGTAGTCATATCATACTTGCAAACAATTTCTTTTTTTAAAAATCCCTTTGGCAATGAAGCCTAGGAGATAAGACACTGTGCGGTAGTCTGCTATGTGTTCTGCAAAAAAAAAAACGATTCACCTTTCTCTTCATTCACGGGACTTAAAAATGATGGCGGAAAAAACAGAGTGAAAAGAGCGTGGGATATTGTCCCACGAACTTTTAGAAGCCCCTTCAGATTCCCCAAGGCATCTCCTGTGGAACAGGCATTGTGCGCAGAAGCCAGGAGCCCTCACCAGAGGCTGGGGTCGGATGAGGAGGGCTGGTGTGTGTAAACAGGTAGTGCTCACGGCCCCTGAGTGCTGTGTGGGGGCTGTTCACCGGTGCACCCAGACAAAGGCTTCCGGGAGAAGACAGATCATGACAGCGAAGAAGAGAGGAGGCCCAGAGGGCAGAAGGTCCCAGGTCCAGGAAAAGGGCTTATAAAGGGGCTTGCAAAAGGGAGAAACCCTAACACCTTAGTTCCCAGTCCCTGAACCAAATCTCCATCCAGAGAGTGAGGGAAGGCACGGCGTAGACACTGGCAAGCAGTCCCATGGCACTTGTGATCCTGGGAGTTGAGCACAGGAGGTGCCTTTGTGAACCTGAGTTTGCTGGCTCTTCACAAATCGCCTGGAGACTCTGACAATGGCTGTGGAGCCTCGCCTCAGAATAATGTGTCTGAATACAATTTTGCTTCCATTTCAGGGGTTTTAGGCACCAGCAGAGCCCATCAAGGCCTAGTTAAAACATATCCCAATTTCCCTCAAGTTTCAAGTGCACATTGCCAAAGAGGAGACTCCGAAGCCCAGATGGCTTACAAAAAGCAAGTGGTAAAAGCCAAGGTAAACCTTAGGTGTCTGAAACTTATGTGTTCTTTTCTGTACCCCACTGATTCTGTGGAGGATTTCTATAGAAGTGGAACTGCATGTTCAGGTGGTCCCTAGCCTTCTCTGTACTATTGGGATCAACCACACTGTCTCCCATTTTGAGTTCACCCTGGTCTGGTTCATTTGATTAAAAACAACAACAAAATCCTCACTACCAATTCAATTCCAACTCATAGCAACCCTATCGTATAGCAGGGGTCCTCAAACTTTTTAAACAGGGGGCCAGTTCACTGTCCCTCAGACCTGTTGGAGGGCCAGACTATAGTTTAAAAAAAAGCTATGAACAAATTCCTATGCACACTGCACATATCTTAGTTTAAAGTAAAAAAAACAAACAGGGCAAAAACACCCGGCGGGCCAGATAAATGTCTTCGGTGGGCTGCATATGGCCCTCAGGCTGTAGTTTGAGGACCCCTGTCATATCGAGTAGACCCACTCTTGTGGATTTCCGAGACTGTAAATCTTCATGGGGGTGGAAAGCCTCATCTTTCTCCAGCAGAGAAACTCTAGGTTTCTTTTGAACCTCTAGATTCCAAACACTAGGCTAAATATTATATTGATACACACACCCACCCTTTTGAAGACCTGATCATTACATTGATTTCAGTGTCTTGGTTTATTTTTAAAACAGAAGAAGAGGAAGAAATCTGGGTGATGACAGAAGGCATTAACTCCTACCTGACATTCTCCAGTGGCTGGTGGTTTGCACTACTGACCTTGCCGTTAGCAGCCCAATGCATCGACGACTATGGGGTCCTAAGAGATACTAAACACTGGAGCCAGGGCAAGACGCACTGCAGGCTCTGGTGTGTTTATCGTTCTTCCTCAGGGTCAAGCAAGGCCAACCCAAAGCTGCTTACCTGTTCCCTGCTACATCCAGGACATGAAGTTCTGTCGCCTGTGACACCTCCGCAGGAATCCGAGTTAACCTATTGTCACGCACGCAGAACACAGTGAGGCTGCAGCACCCGCCAATCTACAAAACGAAACAAAAATACACCTTTATTCCTGCTTTGTTTTGGTTTTCCCGTGGTGGGGGGTGGGGGGTAGGTGGGATGAGATGGGGTGGGGCTGGAGTATCTTGTTTATGAAAATGGGTGAAGTTATACCACATGGTGCTAAGTCTCACTGATGACTAACGGTGATTAATGTGAAATCATACAAAGCAATGAGAAGTCCAGTAAGTTCAAGATATCTCTGCAAACTCAATCAAGAGAGTAAGCCACACGGTTCGAAACTGCATTCTAAAGAGAAAGCCATTTCCCACTGTTGCGATCTAATACAACGGAATCTTCTGAATACGTTAACCATGCCGTGGGCTCAAACCAAGCACAGCGCCATGTGGTCCATTCAGACCCACGGTGACCCTTCAGACACAGTAGAACTGCCAAGACCGGAAGCTTTAAGGAAGTAGACAGACTCATCTGTTCCCCTCGGAGTGTGCTAGTGGGTTTGAACCACCAGCTTCAGGGTTAGCAGCTGACACAGAGCCCATTCCTCCACCCGGATTCCTTACCGAACTCTCCGGTTCAGGTCAGGATTATTTGGCGACTTTGAGGTCCAAGTGGAGTTCTGGTGGCACAGTGGGTACTTGTAGGGTTGCTAACTGCAAAGTGTACAGTTCAAAACCACCAGCCTCTCAGAGGGTGAAAGAGTTAACAGTTAAGTCTTGGAAATTCACAGGGGCAGTTCTACCCTGTCCTATAGGGCTGCTATGCGTCGGCATCAACTCAATAGCCGTGCGTTTGAGTTTTCTAGATTTCAAATGCTAGGCTAAAAATGATATCGATAAACACACTCCTTTTTGAAGAGCTACCCATTAATTTCACTGCCTTGGTTTACTTTTAAAACATAACGAAAGAGGGCATCTGATCCACGATCTAATGCATTAACTCCCCTCTTACACCTTTTAGCAGGTTCTTGTCATTCATAACTTAATCTGGTAAATTCCCTTTCCTCTGACAAATGCAAAAACATCTTAACCAACGGTGGATTTGGTAGAGCCGTAGGTTTAACCTCCTCACTTAGAGCTGCTGGGGAAAGCATACAAAGAGCTATCTGCATCCAAACCAAATGTCTTGTTTTACAGTAATTCAAGAGGAGCTGAGCTGTGCGCGCACTGGTCTTCCAAACAGAAGGCAAATACAAAAATGTTCACTGAGCCCCTCGGAGACCAGTGGAACAGAACAGGGGGCACTCTGGCCCTCCCCCCTCCCCATTCCCTCCTTGCCAGCCCCTTTGCCATGTCCTGGATCTCGGGGAGTGGTGGGACAGTTTGAAGCGGGGGGAGCAAAAGTGTGTCTGGGTCAGGTTACTGTCCTCCCCAGGGTGACTGCTCTAGGGTGGCCTCAGGATAGGCAGGGGCCACACCATCTCTGCACCCCAGTAAAGGTGACCCGGCTCGGGTCTCGGCTAGGAGAGGGTGGTGCTGTGTGATGCTCAGGCATCTCCCCATCCCAAAGGCGGCCTGATGGGAGCAGGTGGGGGTCCTTGCTCTGCCCTCCGGCAGGGAGGGGAGCCATGCTAAGACGCCAACCTCAGGGACTCGGGTTGGGTTCTTTTGATCCTGAGAGCTGTTCTGAGAGCAGAGGACAACATGGGGCATTGTCAATAAACCAATTCTGAGTCTCAAAAAAA